GGAAAAGGAGGACTCCTGATGAGGAAGGGGAGGACTCCTGACAGGAAGAGGAGGACTCCTGATGAGGAAGGGGAGGACTCCTGACAGGGAAGAGGAGGACTCCTGATGAGGAAGGGGAGGACTCCTGACCAGGAAGAGGAGGACTCTTGACAAGGAAGAGGAGGATTCCTGACAAGGAAGAGGAGGACTCTTGACAAGGAAGAGGAGGACTCCTGACGGGAAGAGGAGGACTCCTGACTGTTTTAGGAATAGATCTAGCTCTGACTTATGGCTAACACCACAGTTACACTAGGGGCAAATGACGACACTCTAGCCTTTTCTGTTTGTGCCCTCTTCTGAGGGAAGCAAGAGGTCTGGCCCTCAGTCTCTCCCTGTAGCAGCTGGCACAGCCCTGGGAAGACGTTGACTGGTCTAGTCCACTCTCTCCCAAGAACTCCCAAAAAGGTCCTCAGGAAACAGCTCATGTTCAACAGGCCACCTTTCTCTTTCCAGCTCCCCTCAAGCCTCAGCCCCAGGTTCCAAGCTGGCTGGTCTCCCCGCTTGAGCCTAGAGGACTGGGCACACAGGAGCTGCCCACTGAGCTCCCTCACAAGCCTTGTACATAACTTATACTTCTAGTTTCTACAACCTCCCTCAGCCCCACAAAAAAAGTCAGCATGCTAAATGGACAACCTGTAATTCCTAGGATGTATTCTTTCTACCCTCCAAAAAAGAAATCCATCCAAGCAGCCTTCCCCATCCTTAGAGAATGTCTGAAATGATTCCGGCTCCGGAGGCGGAGGCCCAAGGGCTCCTTTCGGATGCAGATGAGAAGCCTGCTGATTTAGAAACTTAAGCAGAACTTAGTCCCCTGGGCAGTAATGTAGAATCTTGCAGAAACCAGCATCTGTCAGGAGCCATTAATTCTGAGCACACACTTCCTAGAAGATCCCAGGAGCCTCTAGAGCTCTGAGGCACTGGGCAGAAAACAGAGCCCTTCAGCCAGCTCTATTGAAAGACACACACATGTCAATAAGCCTTACGGAGAATAGTTACTCTCACTTTCCCAGACCACAGACCACTGGACCAGGACATCCCAGATACAGCCAGGTTCCAGGGGGGCAAAGCATTCACCAAGTAACATACACACTGCAGCCACACACCTAGAGATGCCTGCCCACTTTCCACGCCCACCTGGCCAGGGCACTGGATGAGGAGCTTCCCTGCTCAGGCCCCAGGAAGAGGACTCATTTGTCACTAGAAGTCAATAGGTCCTCCCACCTCCTGGCTTTCGGCCTGCAATGCTGGGTTCAGGACTGCTCTGTGGCTTTTCTGTTTTGTTTCCCTTAGGTTATTGTTTGAAGATGGGCCTCACAGTGTTGTCAGCTGAATCACTGCAGAGCCTAACCTGGCTCTGAGCACCCAGGGACTCTGACTAGAAGACAAACAACAAGACCAACACTGATCTGTGCATGACATCTTTCTGCAACCCTTGCTCAGACAAGCAGCTAGGTCAGGACGCTAGCTTGCTCAGTGACTCTCCTTCCTCTGCTTCCATGTCACAAATAACCTTCAGAGAAAGGTACTTGTAACCTTCAAAATAACCCTGTATGCAGTGTGGCTCTTCCAGGGGCTGGCTTCCCATGCCTCTGTAGGAGTCCCCTTCCCCATCCATGGAGCAGCCCTGGCCTACTTACCACCTGTCCTGAGTAAGCCAATGTGCCAAACAAGCCTGTCCTTGGATCTGTCTTTTCCTGCATCCTCGGGTGGCAGAGGCCACAGACTTAGGTCTCTTCCCAGGGCCTCTCACTGTCCTAAGGACAACCCTTCTGGGGCTGCCCTCACCATCTGGCTAGCTGGATGCTATGGTCATCTCTAGTGCTCTTCTACAAGAGGAGCGAGTGGCCTCTGCACAGCATACATCTGTTCAGATCTACACAGCGGCCTCCTTGGAGGCCCTGCATCCAACTGACATCATTCTGGCCCCCACGCTACTCTTGGGCCATGATTTCCTTAGCTTTGTTGGCTTTTCTGGAAATGTCTGTCATTCCAATTTCTACCAGTTTGCCCGTGCTTTTCCTCAAAGCAATTGTTATTAAATACGAAATAAAGGACACAGAGTTTTAAAAATTCTGACTCTGGTACTTGTTTTCGTGACCTCCCTTTAGCTAAGGGCAGAGACTCCCCTTGCTCAGCACACCCTTCACACCTGTGCCTTTGTGCAGCAAGGTTGCTCCTACTCTAGACTCTGACTCGATGCTGACTGAGGGTCAGGGCTCTTACTACATGGCTTTCCTTGTTACTGCTGTGGGACTTCGGTAAACATTAGTAAGTTAGAAATCGTATGTAACTGAGAAGCTACAGGATACGGACCACTGTAAAACTGCACAGAGATAGCCAGGAAGGGACAAGACAGTCAGTTGTATCTGGCGTGACTTTAGTGACCTCTGCCTAAAAGAAAAGTGGAGTTCTGGGAAAGCCTTCGCAGCTTGGGACGGAGCGTGGAAGTTATAAAGAAGAACCTTGTATAGCTATCTCAAGTCTGCCCAGAGGACTGGTGTCCATCTTGACTGATTGGCAGTGATGGGGTAGGATGAGAGTTTAGAAGCTACTAGAAACAGGCAAGCACCAGGCTAGGACCCTATTCTGCTGGCAGGCACCAGGGGACCAAGAATTCAGAAAAGCCGGAGCTTATTAGGAAGAACTTACTTGCACAAAGCTAATACATAGTAGCTGAAAGAGGAGTCTCTTTTCCTAAATACTCAATCCCAGCTAAGTAAATAAATAAAAAGCACCAAAAATAAAAAACAGAAGCATGGACCAAAGGACTAATAATAAATTTCTGGAACCCTACCTTAAAGAAATGCAGATCTGAGTGCGTTGGCAAATAATTCAGAGTAAGTGATGCAGGGGGCGGAGAGATGGCTCAGCAGTTGGAGCAACTGGCTGTTCTTCTTAAGGACCTGGGTCCGATTCCCAGCGCCTACACGGCAGTTCACAGCCATCTGTGACTCCAGTTCCAGGGGATCTAACACCCTCACACAGACATACATGTAGGCAGAACACCAATGTATATAAAAGTAAAAAAAAAAAATCATAAAAGTAACGGACATAAAGCTGCCCAATGAGGTAAAAGAGCACAGGCATACGACGCTACGGAAAGATCACGTAAAGACAATGGGATCCGTCAACCCATGAGAGACTCTGAACAGGAAGAAAACAGCTGGACCGAAAAGCTTGGCTGAGAAGCCAATGGGAGGACGAGCCAGCGAACCTGAAGATGCCATGAAAATCACCATAGAGCAGGTTAGAAAAACACAGGCTATAAATGAAGACGGGCTATGGGACTTAGGGATACCAGGGAGCGGAACAACACTCAAGTCCTGGGAATTCCGAGTGGAAGAAAACAGGAATGAAAGTCTATTTGGAGAAATACCTGAAACGCTAAGGCAAGAAAGAGATCACACAGATTCAAGGGCAAAGAACCGGGAGTGAGCGTAAACAGGAAGGTGACACCGAGTGCATCCCGACTTAACTAAGTCCAGACAGACCGTCTTAAACAGCGGTGGAAAGTAAACACTCGTATAAAGTGAACGTATCGGTTCCTCAGTAAAACCTTATGACCCAGAAAGCAGTGGGAAGATCTCCTCAGGTATCCCTCACAAATGATGAAGACTTAGGATTTTCTCGGGGATCACCAGTGGGCAGGTTCATCACTACTAGACCTAAGAGGAAGCAGACAGGAGTCCTTCAGGCTGAACCATCGGAATGACAGACAGCAACAGAAGCTGGGTAAAAACGTGAGGGAGGCTCTCCCTCATGGTGGAGGCTCTCCTGCATGGTAACCTCAGGGCTGGAGAGACAGCTCTGCGGTTAAGAGCATTTGCTCGGGGGACCGGAGCTCAGGTCTCACCTTTCGCGGCAGTGTTCATGATCTCTCGTAACGCTAGCTCTGAGGGAGCCAACGCCCTTTTCTGGCCTCAGAGTCACCCTCACATTCACAGCATTCATTCATACGATACACACACATACTCACAAGTGAGAATAAATGTTAAAAATGAACTATCATATAAATATCTATTTAGATACAGGTTTTAATGTATTTAGAGTAAATTTATAAATAAAATAGTACATTTACTTACTATTCACTTACTTATCTTTAGATAGGGCCTCACTGTACAATTCGGCTTTGATCAAAGGATTCTCCTACTTCAGCCTTCTGCAAGCTGGGGTTGGGTATACGCCACCATACCTGGCTTGTCATTTTGGTTAACCGGATATAAATAAATTGGACTACAGATCTATATAAGTGGGTATAAACTATACAGAGACGTAGCCTGTGCTACTGACGAAGTACGAGGGAGTGGAGCTAGAGAGGAAGAGTCTTCATACAGATCTGAAGTTACATCATCACAGTTTAAAACAGGACGCTGTAATATTACGATGTTTTACGTAGTCAGAGTCATAACCACGGGGGTGGAGAGACGACTCGGGGTTTAAGATGAGGTACTGCTGTTCTAGAAAACCTAGGTATGCTTCCTAGAATCCTTATCTGGGGGCTCTCAACTGCCTGTAACTCCAGCTCCAGCTGTATTCAACACATCTGGCCTTCATACACATCTGCACAGACACCCTTCATACACACGCACGCACGCACGCACGCACGCACGCACGCACGCACATGCACATGCACACACATGTACATATTTTTTTTAAAAAAAAAAAACCCTTAAAGCTACAAAGGAAGTTCTGTAGAAAATACAAAAAGAAAGGATATTCCTATGAGGCTTTTTTAAAAGCAAGGCAGTAAGAGAGCAAATCAGTAAACTAATAAAGGGAGAAATAAAACTACATGTCACACAGAAATAACAAGGGGAGCCTTCCCTACCTGGAATATTTTAAATGTTAATGGACTAAACTTCCCTGCCAGATGACAAGACTGACAAATGGATTAATAACATAACGGGTTGAATTATTTATATCTTAGGAGATTTACTTCAGCTCTGAGGACACAGGTATTGCTGAACGTGCATGGATTAAGAGAGAGAATTCCTGCACCAGATGAGCAGGAATAATTAGATAACAGAGATTTTTAAATTACATAAACTCTCAGAAGAGACAAAAGACAGTATGTGATGATAAAGGGCTCAATTCGCCATCAAGATAACACATCAACAAGCCAGCAAAGTGGCCCAGTGAGGAAGGGCACTAACAACCTGAGTTAGACCCCGGGACCCACAAAGTGGAAGGAGAGAACCAATCTCTGCGAGTCCTCTGACTTCCACAGGCACCCCCTGCCAGACACATTTGTTGTGAAACAGCGGCTACAACAAATCCTGTTGAGCATCAGACAGCAAGCCACAGAACTTCTGAATACATGACGCAAAGCCTGAGGGGCCTCAAGGAGAAATGGACAGCAGCATAATAAGGTTAGGGAACGCCAACGCCCACTCGGCTATGCACGTATCAGATGGAAGAGCAAAACGGAAGCCACAGATTTAGAATACTGTAGACCGCATAGATCTAACATAAACAGAACACTCCACCATGGTAACCGCAGACTACACACGCTTCCCAAGTGCATCGAGAACATTCTCCAGGGCAGACCACACACCAGCCTCAAAACAAGCTTTACAAAATTCAAGAGAAAGTAACACGTACAAGTATCATTCTATAGAGTAAAGCTATAAATTGGTATAAAAACACAAACTGAGAAATTAGATATACGGAAACAAAATGCCGTGCTCTGAAGGCATCAACAAACCAAAGTCTCAAGGGAACTTACACGCGTGAAAATAAAAGCAAACATACTAAAGAGAATTCTTATGAAATCTCTAGGAGGCCTAGAAAGCCAAACAACTTAGGAGAAAAAGAAAGAAAGAAAGAAAGAAAGAAAGAAAGAAAGAAAGAAAGAAAGAAAGAAAGAAAGAAAGAAAGAAAGGAAGAATAACAGGGGCTGGAGAGATGGCTCAGCGGTTAAGAGCACTGACTGCTCTTCCAGAGGTCCTGAGTTCAATTCCCAGCAACCACACAGTGGCTCACAACCATCTGTAATGGGATCTGATGCCTTCTTATGGTGTGTGTCTGAAGACAGCAACAGTGTACTCACATACATGAAATAAATAATAAATTAAAAAAAAGAGTAAGGTTTAAGGGTCCTATTGGCTGATTTTAAAGATATCAAAATAGTATAAATCGATAGTAATCAAAAACACGGTGATCCTGGCATACAAATATACAGTGCAACAGGGTAGAAGGGACTGCCTACAGATGAGCCATCACACACACACACACACACACACACACACACACATGAATGTGTTCGAGAACACAGAAAAGCATGTGAACAACAGACTGGAACAATACATAAAGAGTCAACATGCCACAGCAGGCACAGGCAGCATCCCACTCCAGCCTGGCGGTTCGGAGCACGTAAGCTTTGGGTTCTCAGGTAAGCTCAATTGGCAGAGACTACACAAATATTTCAAAATGCAAAAACCTCCAAGACCTCAAACACTCCTGGTCCTGATTTTTTCTTTTCTTTCTTCTGTTTAGCTAGGTGTTACCCAACCTGCACCAGTACTTGGGAAGAGTGCTTGCCAGTGCTGGTCCAAGGCACAGGTATGCTGGACCCAGGTCCCCATCAAACCCAATCAAAGCAAAGTGCTCACGACTACTGAAAAGATGAGTTACTCATAAGGGATGACCAGGCTTCATGCCACACTGTGCGACGTGGACACTGTGAGACGTGCCTCCCTGAGCTTGTTAGGACATGTCAGGTTGGGCATGTGACCCATCTGGTGTGAAGGAGACAAAAAGCACTTTGTCTATGTCAATTCCAAACCTTCCGGGTGGCCAGTCAATCCAGAACTGCTTACCCTGGTGCCACAGGGTTGTGTTCTGTAGGGAGAGTTTGGTTTTATATACATTGACATACGTTACCTGAAACAAAGAGAAGAGCATCTGAAGAAAGAGATTTCTAAACTCTGACCTGGATCTAAGCTCCCAGGAGGAGCTGCTTCCCAGGCCCGAGGTAACTAGAGCAGTGTGTTCACGGTGCTCTCTCCTCGGCCGGGGGTGCCTCATGCTGTTGGTAAAGATCAATTACTACAGTGCTAACTGATGGGCATGGCAAGGTGGGCCGTGTTCCCTGCTGACAAGGAAATGCTTGCACGCTTTCCTCAGGGAGCAAGCTGTGTGAAGTACAGCCTGTAGAACGCCTAACATCATCAGCCCAGCCCTAATACCGAGGTTGAAAAAGACATAATAAAAGGCAAGATGAATGTCTGGAAGCAAGTGATGTGGGAACACTGGAGTGTCCCTCCAGACAACCCCAGAAGCACCTGTGTAGGATCTTAGTCCTTAGAGAACTAACTCTTGGACCCCCCGAGCAGGGAATGGGGTTGGAATACAAATGAGTCTGAGGCAGAGTTAGGAAAGGGCTGGTACTAAACGCGAGCGTGGTGAGGGGTCAGCCCTGTGACCTTACCGTGCTATCTTGTCACTGCAGGACATGGTGAGCAGCCGTTCCCCCTGCAGCACCCCGTCCCAGGTCTGGATGCTGGCATTTGAACGCACAGGGATTGTCCCCTCGCCAGACTCTATTTTTGTCCGTAGCTGTCCCCTTGCCTTGCGATTCGGATGCCTGTCTGCCGGTTCTAGAAGAAAGAGAGGGTTCAAAACCCACAGGTGACAAAACAGCTAACATACCGGAAAGCACATCTAACGTTCCAAAATTTAAAGTATAGCTTATGGATATGTATGCAAACATTTATTCAAGCCATGTAAAAAATACATCCCGGTAAATATATAAAATTGAACTAAAAAGACATAATACACACCACACTTATGAACATGGAGAAAGGTGGGTTACATTTACATTGGCTGAGATGATTTCCATCATTAATGAGTGGAAGCAAATGGAGAAAAATGCTAAGACTTGCTAATTCTGAGCAACAGATACTTGAACTGCTTGTTGTTATCTGTTAACCTTTGTATTTTATATTTATTTATTTATTCATTTATTTATTTATTTGGTTTTTTGAGACAGGGTTTCTCTGTATAGCCCTGGCTGTCCTGGAACTCACTCTGTAGACCAGGCTGGCCTCGAACTCAGAAATCTGCCTGCCTCTGCCTCCCAAGTGCTGGGATTAAAGGCGTGCGCCACCACCACGCGGCAACCTTTGTATTTTAATTGTTTCAAAAATTAAATACAGCAATCAATCCATTGGGAATATGTGAAGATACTCCCAGTGATTAGCAGTGAGTTCTATGAATATGGGTGACTGTAATTTTTTATTACTATTATTATTTTAAAATAGTAATTATTTACAGCGAGTATCACTGTTGTCATAATCCAGGAAACCCATTTGGAATACGTGGTGCTTGGGTACGGAGAGTAGGGATACAAAGTAGTAGATACAAAGTGTCATAAAGCCGAAGTGCTAGGCTGGCCTCAGAGGATGGAACAGAGACACTGAGGGCCTCCTTGCCGGTGTCCACCTGCTTCTGGGGAGCGGCCTCACCCTTCACACCCTCACTAGTCAGACTCACTGCAAACACAGGGATCACTCAGCACTTTCCTCTTACAATTAGCATTTTTTACTCATTAACATTTTCTGACTAAATTGGGAAGAAAGAAGCTGTACTTTTACAGGGACTCTTATCAAAACCATACCTAAGGCTGAAATTTAAAAAAAAAAAAAGTAAAAAAAAAAAACTGAAGAAGACAAATGTGGATGCATTCTAACACTACATTATATTATGTTTTCTTAGAAACCTGTCAGCTGCTGAGAGTCTGGCGTCATACCCTCTAGCACGGGCTCGTGGGGAGAGAATATTCTGGCGTCTCCGCAGGGTGAGGTGCTGATGTACAGGTGGAACTGCACTGTATCCTTCAGCCGGAACCCACCCCGCTCTGACTTCTGAAATATGGACTTTTTCTGGTCTTCTTTGTTACTGCAAGGGCAAAGTTACAAGGTGACAGTTAAAGGTGTGTGCCACCAACGTGGGGTCTATGAGTTCAGACTGACCTCAGAGGCCAGTGCTTTCAGTAAGGAGAGGTAGGTTTCTGGAGATAGTATTTTGCAACATATACCAGGTTGGCTTCGAACCTGGGATTCTGCTGCCTCAACTCCCCCTTCTGCTAGGATTTACAGTTGTGCAGTGCCTTGTCTGGCTTAAACTGGAATCACTGTTATCCATGCTTATAGTAATCCATAGTTCAGGTCCATCCAGTGATCAATATGTCATCAACTAGGAGTGACCGTTCCTTCTCAGGTGTGATTTTAAGGTAGAAAGACCACATGGAAGATATGGCATTGCCAAGAAAAGCTGACAGGTGCAAGATCAGCTCTGACCATGCTCAGTGACCAAAATGAAAAGGACATTCTTTACCAGGCAGTTTGGAAAGACATGTTTTTTCTTTTTTGATTTGTTTGACTTGTTTTGTGCTTTTTTTCTTTCTTTCTGCTTTTCAAGACAGGGTTTCCCTGTGTTGCTCTGGCTGTCCTGGAACTAGCTCTGTAGACCATTCTGGCTTCAAACTCACAGAGATCTACCTCCCCTGCCTCCCAAGTGCTGGGGTTAAAGGTGTGCACCACTGCCTCCCAGCTAGGAAGACATGTTTATATTTACAGTGCATGAGGGGAAAGATACCATCTGAAATATGGGCTTGAAATATACAACTATGTTTCTGTGTATATGTCTTATATAAGTATTCATGCGTATGCATGTGTGTGTGTGTGTGTGTGTGTGAGTTCGTCTACTCTAGTTCATAACTGAGCATCCTGGGAGAGTGGGCCTGCTCAGACAGCATCACAGGACAGCAAGGCTGGCCCCCAGTATTGCTCACACAGCTACAGTCCCGAGGATTCCTCAGTGCTTACACAGACAAGAAAAGGCTAGGCAATGCTTTCTGATACAAAGTATCTTAAAATAGCTTCCTTCACGTGTTCACTTCCAAACTTACTTTAAATAAAGCTCAAGCTGTGCATAAAGAAACCTGAGCAGGGACCTGCGGGAGATTATTTCTGCGTGGCAGTCGTTGAGCGCGAGGCCACGGTCACTCATGTATTCACCGTTGATACACTTCGTCCCTGTCGAAACACTTATCACCTTGGCATCTTTGACATCTGTACCTGAAAGACAGGAGAGTGACTGGCAACCAATGATCCATCCTGTCTGACGTGCTCTAGGCAACTGGACCATGCAGGGTCAGCTGAACAGCTTGTCTTCACGTGTGTTCATGTCTCGGATTCCTACCTGAGAGACTTGAACAAAGAGCCTCTCCCTGAGGCTGTTATGTACCAATTCCAGGAAGCTACCTTCCTCATCCTGTAGTCTACACCCTGAACTTAATGTGGTCATTTCCACTGGCATGCATGGGTGTCTGAACCGTCACCCTTGACTTTAGGTAAGAAGCTATACGTAACTACTACCTGGCCTGCAATCAGTCCTAAAGTAAAATATTACAGAGGCTAGGAGGAACGACTTACAGACTCAGGATGAGTACCAGAAAACAGAATCAGCCTCCACGAGGTCATTAGTAACTGTTCTCACTTTCCCACACCAAGAGTGAAATCATACACAATATGACCTTCCAGAGAGGGAACATCATGATTAAATGCTGTGAAACAGATCACTGACCCAGACATGCTACAGTGACCTGACTATGGAAGGGAATGTGTCTCAGTGGTAGAACATATACCAAGCATGTGTGAGGCCCTGGGCTATATCCCTAGGATGATAGTAACAACCACAACATACCAATCCTGAGTGTGGCCTCAGAGCAGACTCACAATGATGTGTGTGACAGAAATGATATGTGCTACATGTTGTCAGGGTCAGTGTTCACGGTCAACCTGACACTCTAGAATCACCTAGGAGATAAGTCTCTGGGCACATCTGTAAGGGGTTCTCTAGCCCAGGCTGGCCTTTGGGAATACCTATGAGAGATTTTCTTGATGAGCTTAGTTGAAATTAGAAGACCTGCCCACTGTGGGCAGCATCATTCCCTGAGCTGGGACCCACATTGCCTAAGAGAGAGAAAAGGGAGCTGAACAAAACACTCTTCTCTATTTCTTGACTACGGTTGCAATGTGATCAGCTGCCTCAGGCTCTTGTCAGGTGACTTCCCTACCATGACGGACTTCTCCAACTATGAGCTGAAGTAACTTCACCTAAGCTGTTTTTATCAGGGTACTTGATTGTAGCAACAGGGAAAGGAACTCAGACACAGGCTATGTGGGAGGCACTGTGCCAGGAGCATTAGTGACTCCTCCTCACCACTTGTCTTCACAATGTCCTCTGAGAGCTTCTGTTTCCATTTTGAAGAAAAGAACTGCAGCTCACAGGGATTGATAGCCTGCCTGAAGCCATTCAGTCAGTGAGGGCACTGAACCTACGCACCCAGTTCCGTTTCACAGGCTTTAGACACACATTCTGGTGATGAGCGAATGGTCGGAAAAAGATACAAAATGCTAGTAGTTAGTCTTCTCTGTTTTCTGTTAGAGAATCCCTGGGAGAAGTTTAAAGGGGCATATTTTATTTTGACTCACAATAAGAGGTTTTAGTCCATCGAGGCAAAATAGGACAGAGCAGCTTCACTCACATGGCTGGAGGCAGGGAAGATGCCCGCACTCGGGCCTTCTCCTCTTTCCCTTTCTATTCCCCTGGGGCCCTCGCCTACAGCACGGTGCTGTCCACATGCAGGCTGCCCCTCTCCACCTAGGCCCCTCTGGAAATGCCCTCACAGACACACCTAGGCACTTCTCAAATCAATCAAGGTTAGCCATCCTTAGTCCACTGGGAGTCAGCCCAATAGCCAAACACATCCTAAAACAACTTTCATCCTTGGTCTCCAAAAGGATATTAATGAAAAATGGATTTAGTTTAAGTGTCATAACTGTTCAAATCCAAAGTCTACTGAGACTCAAGGCAAAAGCTTAGCTGTGAGCACTGTAACAATTAAGGCACATTTTACATATTCCTGACACACAGTGACAATAAACCTCCCACTCCAAATGGGAAGAACGGGGACCAGCAAACTGTAGACAAGCTTTTTGACACAGTGTAACCCAAGTTTCCAGCACGTTCTGGGTCCCCATCTGGAACCTTACACATGTCCTCATTCTTAGTCGCCCTGGTCTTCCAAGCTCCACAGAATCACCCACTAAGATGAGCTTACACACTCTAGGGCCTCTTAGGTCCACATCTCCAAACATTTCTAAAATTCCTCCCACAAGCCACTTCCAAAAGGCTTTTCTGAACCACACAGTCATATCATTCACAGCAACAATCCCAATGGATCACAGATGGCACCATGTTTCTGACATATTTGTCACTGATATGACAAATTCATGAGAAAACTGAATTTTTTAAAAACTTTGTTTCTGTTTTCAGTCCACTGTAGGGGGAGGATGTGGCAGAACAGGTCAGATATGACGGTGACCAGGAGAGAAAGGGGTATATTTATGAGCGGGTATGAGGGTGAGATATGTGGGTGAGGGAAGGGAGAGGAAAAGAGAGGAGAGAGAGAGAGAGAGAGAGAGAGAGAGAGAGAGAGAGAGAGAGAGAGAGGGAGGGAGGGAGGGAGGGAGGGAGGATGAGAATGAATATGCTTAGATTAACGGACCCCCATTCTCTGAACCACTGGCCATGGGATGCCGCCAGACCCATTCAGGCAGGTCTTCCACCCTGTCACTCTCTGGAAACGCCCTCAGAGGCACGCCTCTTAAGTGTGCTTTACCAACTTTCCAGATGTTCTGATTTTACAGGACTTCTTCCTGCTCCCCATAGAATTCACGCTGCTGTGGTAGTAGTGACACATACAAAGCAGAGAAGGTTTAAGCTTCAACAGAAGAAGTCAGAGATCGTAATGTGTTATTTCCAGAGTAACCCAGGTCACAATGGTGTCACATGGGAATACAGTATGCTTTCTCCAAAGGAAAAGGACACAATGAAAAGTTGAACATTTGGGGGCGCTAAAGAGATGGCTCAGCAGTTAAGAACACTTGCGGCTCTTACAGAGGATTCTGTATTGATTCCAAGCACCTGCATGGCAGCTGACAAACATCTATAACTCCAGTTCCAAGGGAAATCTGATGCCTTCATCTGGCCTCTGAGGGCACTGTATGCATCATACATATAGACGAAATGCACACTCGTGCGCGTGCACACACACACACACACACACATTCTTTTTTAAAAAACTGAACATTTTGAAGGAAGAGTTTTGTTTGTGTAAGTTTTTTGTTTTAGGGGTGGGGGGGTGCTAAAGACTGACCTCAGGAACCTCACTGCCTAAAGATGTGTTTTACCCCCTGAGCTGTGTTCCCACCTCTAAGAAGGAAAGAATGGCTTCTGAGGGCAATTTCTATATTTGTATAAGACACATGCACAAACACAGAAAGAATAAGAGGGAATAAAAGGGAACTTTCTGTTGGTGTCACGAGATCTAGAAAGCAGACAGGGTGAACAAAGTGCTAGAAGCTTACCTGTGGTCATCACTACTCCAGAAAGCACTTTCCTTCGTGCATGAGGGGAGGAAAAGTTGTCTGTCAGGTCACTGAACTTACCCAGGACCAGGCGTGAGACAGCATCTGCCAATACCTGGATGGAGAGCAGAGACCAAGTTTAGGACCAGGGCTCCCTGTGGTGGAACCAGCCTCCCTCAGTGCCAACACATGCTGCCTAATGCAAAGACTCTTACAGTCTCGCTTCTACCATAGAAATCCCCACAGGCATACCTAGCACATGTGTGTACGTGTGTGTGTGTGTCACATGCATGATGGGTGTGTATGCACAGAGACAAAAATCATCAGTGGTTTATCTAGCCATGGACCCTGTGCCTGACAACACAGGAACACTAATGTCAGTGAGCATGAATATTATGGGTGTGACCAACCACTTTACAATTTACTGGAGGCCTGCTCCACAGAAGGAAATCCATGCTTGGCACTGTAAACTTGGTCTGAAGCCCACGGCTAGGAAGCTTCTGGCCATCTGAGAGGAAGCCATTGCTGATGTTTTGCTAAAGACATGCTGTCAAACTGCTCTGTAAATATCTGTTTATACTTAAGGGCCAGTGCTGCGCCTGGTCTCAGAGAAGCACCTTTTGTAGCCTGCATCGCTGAGTGAGGAGAGTGATGACAGGGGGAGGTGACGGGAAAGAGTGACTGTTGAATGCTCAGCCCCAGAGAGAATATCCATGTCATCCCCTGCAAGACTAAGGGAACACTGGAAAAGGGACAGAAAACTGTAGGAGACGGATGGGGTGATAAGGGCTGAGAAACGCTGTTTTCTAGACGTGACATGGTGGCTGTACCCACTACCTTGCCTTAGGAAGATCATTAGTGGTCACCCGCCGAAGGCTTGAGAACAAGGCTGGGTTCTATCGACATTCTATCATGGATAGGTGTATTGTTGTCTTTTCCTGTTGCTGTGATAAAATACCCTAGCGAAGGCAGCTTAAGGGAGAAAGGGCTTATTTAGCTCATACGGAAGTCACAGCAGCAAGAGCTCGAGAGAACCGGTCACATTATATCCACAGTCAAGATGAAAGATCAAGGGATTCATGAATACATTCTAGTGCTCCATTTGCGTTTTCTATGCTTAAACAATCTAGGGCTCCCTGCTAGGGGAAGAGTCTTATTAGTTAACATAATCAAGATACTCCCCACCCCTAGCCAATCCCCAGACCAACCTACATACAGACAGCCCTTCAATACGACTGCCTTCCCAGGTGACTGTACCCAGTGTTCACATATTGAGGGAGGGCCTAGCTTAGAGGCTCCCACCCTCCCTAAAGAACCACGGGAAGTTAACAGTTGCTGGGGAAAGAGAAAGTCATTTCCCACGGTGCTGCAGCTACTGGTAAATGCCCTTACTCAAGTAAAGAACCCCCTCACCCACGCTTGTGCAAGCAACCCCAATTAGACATAGTGGGTCACACACAAAAAGAAAAAAGCCATGAAGGTAGGAGGGGGCTTGTTGGTAAGAAGGACTTCAGCAGGAGTAGGAAGGTGTAAGAGAAGATACTAGGAGGGAGGAAATGATTAAAGAAATATATATATAATATATATTAATTACACACATATATATGTATGTATATAAAGTTGTGAAAAAACAGATTTTTAAAATATAAGTTTTAAAAGTTTTTATTTCATATAAGGGTACGGTCCAAGTGATTTTCCTGCACAAGCCTGAGCCCATGAATGCTGACTAAATATCTATGGAATACATACTATGAGACACAGGCAACTGAAGAACACAAGTTGTTCTGACTCTCTGATAAAGGACTTATGGACCTGACCCTGTGTGACTGGGGCTGTAAACAACAAAAGTATAAAGATCCTAAATGCAGCTGGGCATAGCAGCCTGGGCCTTTAAGTTCTGATACTTGGGAGGCCGACAGGCGAATGGATCTTTGTGAGGTCATGTTCAACCTGGTCTACATTGTGAGTTCCAAGGCAGCCAGAGCTATTCAGGGAGACCCTGTCTCAAATAAGTAAATAAGTAAACAAACAAACAAATAACAAAATGAGATATCCTACATCCCAACCACTCACCTTCAACAACATGAACAAGGGTGAGGCCCTGTTCTATACTGACGCTTGGCTACACTACCCTGGCATGCCTGCTGCAGCAGGGCACCACAGCTGTGGTACAGCCAACACTCTCTGACTTTAGCCCCACCCCACCCTTGAATCATCAGGATGGCAGACAGCTCTCAGGCCAGGGATGCTTGGCTCAAGCCCTTTAAGAAATATTTCAGGGAAAAAGCAAGACCTTACATCCTTCCTGGAAGGCAGGATGTGATCCTCCTACCCCTACCTCTGCCATATAGCCACTGGGATTGGTCCTGGAAGTCCCTTCAGAAAAGACCTTACTGGTTTCATCCTCTGTGGTTCATAAATTTCTAAGCTACCCTGGGGCTCTAAAAGGGGCAGTGTGGGTTGTGCCACTGAGCAGAGGTGTGAGGATACTGTTCCCAGACAAGTGGCTCCAAATCAGAGGTCCGGAAACTGATGTGTGACATCTCAGGACCCAGAAGAAAGCAGCATAAAGAGGCAGAGAGCGGCCCAGCTTACTGTACCATGACTAGATCCTGACAAATGCCATTTGTCTCCCAGGGTCAGGAGCTCGGTCCTTTCCATACAGAGAGAGTTCCAGGACCATCAGGGCTACATAGTGACGCTACCCTGTCTCAAAACCAACCAACAAAACAACAAAACAGAAAGCAGGGTTGAGGCCACCTGCCTCAGACCATCTGTCCGCTATCCCTCTATGGGATCTGAGGCATCTGAAGTCGTTTCAGTGGTCTGGCGACATTAAAGGAAGACAAGTCACATCAGATGGTATGTTGAACTCAGGTCAAAAGATTTTAGCAAATCTACACCTAGAAATCAAGTCGCTTGGGATCTAGTACTTGACTTGTAAAATAACCACTGGACCAGCTGGTTACTCTTGGAGAGATGCTAACAAGGGACTCATTGGAAACAAGTACCTGCTTGTCACAGGAAAACAGTAAGACACCATATCCATTCCTTCACACTGAGCTGTACTTGACTGCTTTAGGCAAGTCTTTTCAAACCAAGATTTGGATTTAATCCCAGCATTTGGGAGGTAGAAGCTGATAGATCTCTGTGAGTTCAAGGCCTTCCTGGTCTACATAGCAAATTTCAGGCCAGATAGGGTTTATAATGAGACCCTGCCTTAAAAAGAAATCAGTAAATTAAAACCAAGAACTATGGTCAGCCCAACTCTAGCTCTAACGCAGGCCAGAGAGAAAGGGCCCCACCCGAGACTCAAGAGAATGGCCTTCCTAGCCACTACATTTTCTAACTTGTTAATTCACTAGTTCTGGTCAACGGCTTCCACACTAAAGAACATGTTGACACAAAAGGCTTAAGACATAAGACTGAAAAACAGATATGTGAAATCGGGATTCTGACACTGCCAATGATCCGGGACCTGATGAGGACTGAAGGTCCCTTTACCTTCTTCCTCTTTCAGAGACCCATCCTGAACTACCTTAAATTTCTCTTTCTTTACTGTGAGTTTTCTATAAGGGGCACAAACCTAAGTGGCTGTCCACATCCAGCTGGAGTAGGGAGAAGCCCACAGAGGTGCCACATAGGAATTCTGGCATACAGAGATGCCTAGCAACTGGCAGGTTCTCAAGTGTTTATGGAAGAGCTCCCCCTGCCTCACTCCTGACCTGCCAGCAGCTCCCTACTGCTCTGTGGGGAGGGCTTTATTGCCTTGACCTTACCAGGGGCCTTCAGTGGCAGACTGGCCAGCAGCCCTTATTCTGCCCATGAGTTTTCTGTGCAATGATTCAAAGGTTGCCTGCCCTACTGAACAGAGGCCAAAACTCCAGCATCTGGGCCCCCTGCCCCTTTCCTGATAAAGGCTTGCTCTGGGGTGCAGGTCTCTTTGGGGGACATAATTCAACGGAGAAGGAATGTGGCTGTGCTGGTGAGGGCCCTGAGGTATCCCTGCTCTGAACTGTCATGACTCTAGCCAGCATCAGGAGACTAAATCAGATTCTCAGAGACCATGGAAACTGAGGCAAAGTTACTCCATAGCCAGACTTACCCGAAACTGCTCCTGCTGAAGGCTTAGTAACATAGGGAGTCAAAAGCAATAGTGAAGAATAAAGGCTGCCTAGAAATGTCATCGAGGGCAATGGCCACTCATTTGCAAGCACACGTTTCCTCACCTGTGGCAAATGCAACTGAAGACCCTCACTGAGGACAGGCTGGCGAGATGGTGTTTGGTCCAAGTGCAAATTGAAGACAGTAGCCAAGGCAGACTGTGCAGCCCGGGCCTTGGCAAGCTTCTTGTTTCTCCCTGAGCCCTCAAAGAACTGGCCATCTACCACCACGGACATGACAAAGCTCTTGGCGTGGCTCTCCCCACTCTCAGAGAGGAAGTCATATTTCAGCCCTGGGCGTAGCTCATTCAAGATCATCACGGGATTCTTCCCACTTGGGGGTGGGAATGGTGGTGGGATGGGCAGAGGAGGCTGGGTAAGGGTGGCAGGCACTGGGGAGGCTGACAGGCTAACGTCTCCACTTGAGCTGAAGGAGTCGTCCCCATTGGAGCCTACGTAGAAGGGTGGCTCTGACTTGTCTGGAGTCTCGAAGCCATTGAAGAGTGTGTCAGGGAAGTCGGCCTGATCAGATGTGAAGTCTGTGTTCACAGAGAGGGTCCTTCCCATGGCCAGGTGGGCCTCGGAGGCATTGGGGAACTGGACAAAGGACCTCAGGGCCTTCTCAGCAGCATGGAGTTTTGCCTTTTTCTTTGTAGGGCCAGAGCCCTCAAAGACCTGTCCGTTTACCTCCACGGACATGACAAACAGAGGCGCATGCACGGGTCCTGTCTGGGACAGCAGCATGTACTGCAAGCCGGGCTTGATCTCATTCAGCTGCATCAGGGCGTTCTTGGGCAGAACAGGCCCTGGTGTTTTCCTTCGCTTCTTCAGGCGGTACTTGGAGTGGCCATTGCTGCCCTCCTCCAGGGGCCGCTTCCTGCTGGTGCTACCACCACCCCCGTTGGAGAGTGGAATACCCTCGCCAGGCCCGGGTGTGCTGCTGTCCTTGGGGGGCATGTTGTCCAGATTGCGGTTTTCTTTAACATCAGTGCTGCTCGAACCTGTGGTGCCCAGAAAGAGTAACTTACAACGCCTTCGTTGCAGGATCTTGTAAATGCAAAATTTATAGATTCCTTTATCTCTTTGTAGCTGGGTAAGTGATGTGTGTGTGCGTGTGTATTTCCTTCCTCAATGCAAATTTGAGGAACTATACATTGACCAAAGATGTAACTGTTTAGGGCTGGAATGCACTTGAGATTTTTTTTTTTTGAACTAACGGACCTATTACCTCTTCTACTTAGTTTATCAATTTCTTCTGCACTAGAAGATAAACATTTTAAACTATTTTCTCTGCCACAGACATTCTGAATCTTGCTAGTTTATCACCATGTTACATGTTAAGCTAATCCACAAGACCCCCACTAAGTCTGATGAAGTGGTTTCTGAGTCCACCAGCACACGGGCAATTCCCTCAGTGTGTGCTTCCTTCACAAGGTTACTGACCTTAACAGACGGCAGTTTTTAAACTAAAGCACTTCTCAGGAGAAGAGGTGCCGTTTAGACACATGTATTCCTAACTTACTTAGCTTTTGAGGGTCCAAACATCTGATCAACACATGATTATTTGGTTTAGTTTGTGAACTGATCATAGAAAACTGCTTATGTAATAAGATAAAGTATCATATGACTTTATGGAACTTGATTTTGAAGAATAATGTATCCATTGAAGACTTTTCATTATGTTTCAGCACTATTTGCTTCAAAACCTTCGATAAATTTTATGCTTAAAAAAAAGAGTAAGAACAGGACCCAGTCCTGGAGCAGCAGGTAAGTTGTGGTCCCTAATTTCAGTTTCACAACAGGCCAGCAAACCTGCCTTTCTAAAAAAAGCTGATAGGCTTTCAGAATAACTTGGAGACTATACCTTTTAAATATACTTTGCATGGCAAAATAAAAGGTGATTTTGATCTTTGAGGGAACTAACTGTCAGGCTTGGTGGTGCACCCCTGTTCTTTTACCACTTAAGGGGGTTGAGAGTTAGAAGACCAACGAGGCTACCGGAGCCGTGGCTTGTTGCAACCTCCTGCCAAGCAAAAAAGACTGTCCTTTCTCAGGGGGGCATTTTAGGTCCTCCCTGACTTATTAAGCTTTCTGAAAAAAAGAAAGAATGACCCCCCTTTTATCCTTCAGTTTCACAGTCCTGTGCACTGGGCCTGTGCAGTGTTTAGATCTCCAACCACTAGCTCCTAAAATCTAACGTAAATCTTAACTGATGAAAATATTCCCGAATAGGATGGCTTTGGGGGTCTGTGTCTACTATGTACCACACCAGTGGATTTTCTTTGTGTCGAGTAATCTGAAAACGCTGCAAATGTTCCTCAGTGAGCCCGTGGGCGGGGCTAATGTGATGGACATCTTGGTCGTTGTTGCCAGCCTGATTCAGCTGACACAGCAGACTACCAAGACAGACTCAGTCGGTGGAAAGTCCCCTGTGTGAGGCGGGGAGGGGGTCTCTCAGTGGACACCCCTGCCCAGAAGACTCCTGACACACACGCCACTTCTCCCAGCTGACAAAGCTAATGGAATGGGCACTAAATTTTCATTTATAACATCCTCCAGCAAAAGACCGGTAGGTTACTCCTTTCGGTGCTCAGGGAACAGAAGGTGAGAAGGCAGAGCAGAGACGGACAGAGATTAATAAAGGGGAGAACATCACACACTACATCTGCTCACAGTTCCAGTTTCTCAGTAAACATAATTATCAGCAAAGAAATGCACATTATTGACAAGGCACTCTGACACGCATTTAGCCAGACGTTAGTGATGTCAAACAGCCAAATGCTCTCAGAACTAAGTTAACAGTCAAGATTATGAGAAAAATACACTTTCTGTGAAAGCGGAAATCACTCTCAATTCTTACTTCAGAAATAAAGGTACCAACCGATCACATGGTATCAAAAAAAAAAATGTTCCTGGGGAAACAAAAATAAAATACTCCAATTATAGACAGAGTCCACGGTCAGCTGAAGCAGACACTGTCTCCATGTACCACTCTGCTGCATTCAGAATGTGAAGTGAATCACAGTGCAACTTTAACTGGTTTTAAAACCACGAGAGATGTGTACGGCTGACATTTTTAAGTCTGCACTAGACCCCAGCGTTTATTAGAGGAATATTCTTTGGGAGGATACTTCCTTAGTTAAATTAACCAAGGTTCAATGGTGATAGCCACAGCTGGAGACAAAACTCACAGTCCCCAGCCAGCAGGTAGTTCTAGGGACACCATCACACACTCCCCAGAGAGTTTGCAGGCTTGGCACAGCATTGGCAATACTGTCTGAAATGCAGATTTAAAACCTGGCAAAGCTGAGAGTGACCAGTGGACCTGCCAGCAAAACTCCACAGCTTAAAACATCTCAAGAGCAGAACTGAGGAGAAGCAACCAGTGAGCTGTGAGCAGTACCCACATTAGAGGCAAAAGCATGCCAGCTACACCACTTAAAATGGCACTGGACTGCTGCCTTGTGCCAGCCAGTGGCCATCCTAAGAGTAGACGATGTCTGCTGCACAGCCTACCCCAGATCCAGCACGGCAGCGGGACACAGACTGGCCTCACATAGCGCTATTAAGCTCTGGGTATCCAAGAATTGCAGAGCGGCAGCCCGGGCCAGTAGACCGAGTCACAGAAAGCGTCCCGAACCTGGGTCTCACCATTACACCACCCCCAGGAAAATGTGGCTCTGCTGCGCGGCTGCATGCTCTTCCTTCAGACAGAGCATCTGAGCTGGAAAAGTGCCTTCTTCCAGACAACTTCCCATTTAGATCTGAGGGTGGGCAGAAACATTGGTGTGCCTGAGGCCCCGTGCCAGCAGCCCCATGGAAGACGCTGGAGAGCAGAAAGGGCCCCAGTGAGGGTTTGGTTCACACAAGCACCAATCACGGTCCAGTCTTCGAAGACTAAGATCATGTGGACTCCCTTCCCTCCAAGGCGGGAGTAGCAACTGTGTCTGAAGGGAACCTTATGAACAGTTATCCCAGTGACCAGATATCTGAGCCAATCAAAAAGGTTTTCTTGAGTTTATACTGGCGCAAGTTCAGAGCTTTACTACAAGAACCACTATGTCACAGGAAGCCACACAGCATTATGGGACAGGCACCTAGAGGCATATTTCTGGAATAAAAATGATGGTCCCATGATAGTAATGAGGGATGAAATCTCTAGATAGGGTGGTTGTAAGGAAAATATCACCAGTAAATATTGAAACCTAGTATACAGAAGCCCACCACTGCCAACAGCCCACACCCCAGGAAATATCAAACCTCTCTTGTCAATCAAACTTACAAAAGCACTAACATTTTAACTGGATATGAGCTATTTGACACTATGTGACAGGCCTAGATCTTACTCATATTCTCTTCATCTTCTATATCCATGGTAAAATGCTTCTGAGGGTTTCTTGACTGGCGGAGACCTCTTTTGTCTGAAAGACAGCAAGAAACAATGTTTAGTGTGTGATCCTTGGAAAATGAGGTATGGAGTCTTTGTGTGATCGTATCACTGCAATCAAAACAACAAAAACTGTAAGGAGCCTGCCATCGGAGAAGGAACATTCCCCGTTCCTTTCACCTCCTCTCAGCATGTTCTGGGCCACCAAAGGACCCCCGACGTAGCCGTCTTATGTGGAGGGCCACTGGAATTAAGAAAGGGGTCACCACAAAGGAAGCCTAGGGCAGCGTCCAGGAACCTCATGCTTTACCCTGGGGATTAAAGGCCACTAGGGGTTCTGGGCCAGGGACAAGGTGGTAATTCTAGCCCACAAGGAGCTGCTGTCAATAGCCATGTCTTACCCAATCTCTGTTGTAACAGAACTATGAATGGGTGACAAAGTGACCTCACACAACAAGACCCCCAAGTACTTCACCCACACTTCTGTGCATCCCCACAGCACATCACAGGAGAGCAAAAGTGTATAATAGCTTGACTCTAATACAATTCAATCTAACACGATTCCTTCACCACACACAACTCCCATCTCACTGGCAGGAGAAACCGAGAAAAGAGCTAAAGAAAAATTTCAGCTGCCCAATCACTAAAAGACTCAAGGTTTTCATCTGCCAGATTATTTCTGATAAGTTGCAATTAAGAGAAAAAACATTCACAAATTTTGAAACAAACATTGCTTTGTAAACAAAATTTGCTCTATCAATAAAATAAATTCCTTGTTTTTAGGAAAAAGGTGATTAAATATGCTAAGAAGTACATATATCTCATAAAACACTTGCATAAAATACATACAGATTTCATGACAATTATTTGTTAGTAATTTTATTCTCGTTTTTTTCCCTCTGGTACATGCAGTGTTAAGCACTGATGGAGTTTCTACATAGAATACTTTATTCTGGGGATTGGAGAGATGGCTCAGTGGTTATAGGCACTGGCTGATATTCAGAGGACCCAGGTTTGATTCCCGTCACCCACATGGAAGTTAAAAACTGTCTGTAACTCCAGTCCCAGGGGATATGATACCCCTTGTGGCCTCCTTGAGTACTACATGCACATGGTGCAAATACATACATATATATACATATATACACACATACATATACATACATACATACACACACACTCATACACTCATAGACACACGCACGCATGCTGGCAAAACACTCACACATATAAAATGAAAAAATCTTAAAGTGAAAGTTTTCCAGGGGGCTATAAAGGCATTATCACTTTATATTGAATCATTATCTTAAGATATACTTTCAGAGTATCTATTATGTTGGAAGCAGAGCTGGGGTACTGTAAGAACCTAAAATGAATCAGATAGATTTTGCAATTGAGAAATCCCAATGTCTAGACAGCTAGCTGTGCTAAGAAACTTTTGCTAACAATTACGGGTGTAGAAACAGTAGCTATCTGTCAGAGGTGCACACTGAAGTATCTATCTGTCAGAG